ACTTTAAAAAAATTTGATGAGGGAGGGGGTTTTTTTTTTTTTTTTTTGTTTTTTAAACGGAACAATTGATTATTTCGCTTTTGTTCTTATTGATGAGGGAGGGACTGTCTATATTTGGTTAGTAATAGTAAATATTGTATAAAAACTGGTTTAAATTTTATTGTGTTTTAAAGAAATGTATCTGAAGTCACAAATTGGATTGTGTTATGCTGTGAAAATAATTAATGCGGCAAAGAATTTTTTTTTTATTCCCGCATCAATATTTCCCAAATTTGTCAAGCAGGGGGTGGGGGGGGGGATGATGATCTAACAATTTTTTTAGTGCCCTACGTTGGCTATAGTGGGACACAGTAATAAACTATAAATATCTTGTTTAATAGTTTCCAAGATAATCCTATTCTTTTTCATTGTGTCCAATGGTTGCGAAATTGGCTATAGTGGGACACAGTGATAAAGTACAACTGTCTTCTTTAATATTTTCTAAGTTAATCCTTTTCTTTTTCATTGTGTTCAATGGCTGCTAAGAGCACATAGAAAAAAAATTATTAAATTATCACTAATTAAAAAAAAAAACCAATGAGGGAGGGCTGTTTTTTAGTTTTTTTAATCCGAACAATTGATTATTTCGCTTTTGTTTTTATTAGTGAGGGAGGGACTGTTTATATTTGGCTAGTAATAGTAAATATTGTATTGTTTATTTCTATAGTTTTTTAAAGAAATGTATCTGAAGTCACAAAATTGCATTGTGTTATGCTGTTAAAATAATTGATGCGGCAAAAACAAAAATTGTTTTTTTATTCCCGCATCAATATTTCCCGAATTTTCCCCGCGGGGGTGGGTGGGGGGAAAGGGGGAGTTAATAATTTCAAAAATAATCCTATTCTTTTTTATTGTGTCCAATGGTTACCAAATTGGCTATAGTGGGACACAGTGATGAAGTACAACTGTCTTCTTTAATATTTTCTAAGTTAATCCTTTTCTTTTTCATTGTGTTCAATGGCTTCTAAGAGCACATAGAAAAAATTATTAGATTATCACTCTTTAAAAAAAAAACGATGAGGGAAGGCGGTTTTTTGTTATTTTTTTTGTTTTTGTTTTTGTTTTTTTAATCAGAACAATTCGTTATTTCGCTTTTGTTTTTATTGATGAGGGGGAGGGACTGTTTATATTTGGCTAGTAATAGTATATATATTGTGTGGGACACAGTGATAAACTTTAAATATTTTGTTATTATTTTTCAAGATAATCCTGTTCTTTTTCATTGTGTCCAATGGTTGCCAAATTGGCTATAGTGGGACACAGTGATAAAGTACAACTGTCTTCTTCAATATTAATTAATATAAGCCGTTTATTTTACTTTTAGACGACTTAATTTTTCCCATTGTGTATTTCTTCTTACAAAAGCTTTCTTATCAAAGTACCGATCGGACGGATATGTTACCAAAAAAGAAGAAACTCTCACTTTTATCTTTTTGATCACATCGACACTGCTTTAATTTGATTCGCTAATAAGTTTAGTAGTTCTTCCCATTATGGGCTTCCTAGCTTCCAAAATGTTTCCGGAAGTCATAGTCTCGTTTGGTCCAGGAATATTATGTTTTTTCCACATTGTTGAAAATTAATAAAATTCTGAAATTCTCCAATTACAGATAACATGGTAAAGTAAATTTATGTATAAGGATAGCTTTGTAACATTTTAATGTATTCCAATGTAATTCTATGTAATTTTCATCATATTATTTATTATAGCTATGGAGTTGGAACATGACCGAAGTCCGTTTTTGGTATACCAAATATACCTCCACAGGTTGCCGCGTGCTAAAAAGCAAAAAATACTTTTGCATGTTCGGCGTTCCATACATGTACGCATGCGTACTAGGTCAAACGCAGCAGCTCCATCATCAGCAAATTGTTGCGTAGTCGGCGTTCCATACTTTACGCATGGTCTCTTATACACATCTAGATGTGTATAAGAGACAGGAATCACTATTTTTGCGTGATCGGCGTTCCATACATTTGCGCATGCGTACTAGGTGATTCGCCAGCAGCGAGTCGGCTCCAGCACCGAGTCGCCAGCAGCGAGATGTCACTGCAGCAAAACGTCTATCCGGATAGCTGAGAACGCTATCTTGTGTTTATAAGATCTTCGATGGATGCGCACACTTTTTGAGGGTGTGCGGTTTTTGAAAAGGAAGAGGTTATTCGCACGGTACCGTGCGAATTAGGAATAAGAACTTATTCGCACGGTATGACAGCCGTTACGTCATGAAACCTTAAATGCTGATTGGCTAGGTCTACCATGCGAATAAGACTCATAAGAGCTAATTCGCACGGTACCGTGCGAATAACCACAGTACAGGTTTAGTCTTCATTAATTAAAAAACAATTTTGGGACCTGTGTTTCCATAGTCTTTTCTTTTACCAGCTTTGTTCTGTAATAGTAAATTCCGAAAGTTAAATGTATTTTAGCGATACGACCGTGGAAGTTTAGAGGTGGCGCTATACAATGTTTATCAAAGTAGCCATCTTGAGTGTCGTCCCCTGCAAATATGGAGTCGTTCCAGTCAAATTCCGCTTATGTGTAGTTTTTCCTGCAATTGTCTACTAAACATTAGAAATGCCGAAAACTTGTTCAGCCTATGGGTGCTCAAATCGATGGGAACAAAATTGCAAGCTAAGCTTCCATCGCTTTCCCAAAAACCAGAAAAGAAGAGAGCTATGGACTCGAGCAATTGCACGACAGGGTTGGATACCCACTGAAAACAGCACGTTGTGCGGAGGACACTTCGTATCAGGTAAGCCTAGGCCAAGGTCATTTATGATAAAAGATTTGGGTCTAGCTAGCCAGTGCTGGTATGCTTAGAACCAGACTACACTATGCTTAAGCTTAAATCAGATAATCATGGACCTATTACAGATAATCAACCACGAACCAATAGACCTTTATAAATTTCTAGAAAAAAAAAACTAACCAATCAGAAAGTGTTATTTGTAGGGCCGGGAAAATATGCATGCCCCACAAACATGACTAAAGCTGTCTTTTTGTGGGAACTGTGGTTTTAACAGGAAGGCATGGGGCTTAGCATAGCAGAACGGTTTATTAATATTAGCCAGGTCAACATTCACATTATAAAATATAATTTAGATCTTCATCCTGATCCAATTTACATTATAGTGTAGTGTGCTAATCAATGGAAAAAAAAAATTCCCGCATCAATATTTCCCAAATTTTTGATGCGGGCCAGAGTGATAATCTAACAATTTTTTCTATGTGCCCTATAAGCAATCTCAGCAATACTTTGTGCTCAAGTATGGCACTTGTGCATCTTTGATGTATGTAGCTCCGATGAGGGAGCTCTAATAGTATTCTGCTGATTGATTATATAATAGATTCTGATTCTTTTTTTTTTTTTTTTTTAGTTTTTTTCTGCAGGTAGGTTGCATAGTGATTTGATAAATATTTTTTTTTTCTACCATCCTCTGACTTTAAATTAAGTTTGTGAAACAAGGTATAAAATAATTCTTGCCTTAAATGAAGTATGTGTTTCAAAATTAAGCTTATATTAACTAAGCACTCAGAGCCCATGGATTCTGGCACTAATTTGAATACAGTATTCAGATTGCTTTGATTGATTGATTGATTGATTGGTTTATTGAAAATCTCATGACTGGCTTTACATTTTTTAGGGAAGGCTGCACAGGACTGGGATACCAAAAGTCCTGATTGGGTTCCAAGTGTATTTAATGTTATATCAAAAGTTTCAAGCATGCCCAATGATGTTGATTCCAAACAGCAGCCAAACAAAGATGCAGGGACTCGGTGCATGAAACTACCAGACATAAAAATTGGCAAGGAAAAGAGTTTACGGTATTTGAGGATCTGCTGCCCATTATTAGATGTTGTGTCTGCTGAAAAATTGGATGGTTTGTTAAAGGTATCATTTTTGTGCCTACTACCCCAGGGGGGTAATAGACACAGTAGACACTTTGTTGTCATCTGCCTTTTGAACTTGTAAGAGTAAATCTGGTGGAGGAATGATGGGATGGGTCATGAGCTAAAGATGAAAATGAAAAGCAAGTTTTACACATTATGATGCCATGCTAGATAAGACCTGTAGGTTATAAATTGAATTGACAAGACAGAAAGCTGCTAGATAAGGCCTTGTCTTAGAAAGTTTACTAAAAAGTCACAACAATCTGGTATATACTTGTACAATTATTCATAGTGAATTGCCAACACAGAAAGCATGGATGAGTTTAAAGTAGCCAAAAAAAAGCATGTCAACCAGTAGACACATTCTGCCGCTGAGAGCCTATTTTTTTTAATTGTGTTGGCCATAATTTTTTGGAAAATGCAAGTACTGCAGCTATTCATTTTTTGGTGACCATAACATTTAAGTAGAGTATTAGATACAGTACATTAATAAATGTCAAAGACAGCATAAAATTCAAATTGTATCTACCCAGAAAATTTTCTGATGATTTAAAATGCAGCAAACACTTAATATTTATTTGTAATTATTGATAGCTTTTTACCATATGGAACAATAATGGTAAAGTTAGAATGCAAAATATGTTGGCTGAGAAGTTCATTAAAGATAAACAGATTATTAGTAGAAATTTTATTAGTAAATTTAATTTCTTTGCAGGACAATGATTCTTTATATCTGTTCCTGGGCTCTGATGTGTTGCACGGTTCATCAGTTTGCACAGTGCACCATCCCAGAACACATGCAAGGTTTGCAAAAAGGGGGTTTGCTTGCAAACTTCACTTTTCGAAAAGTAAATATATATATGGACTTATTTTAATTTATGGTATCCTGGCTAAAGTATGTTGCTTTCTGGGTGATGCCAGCATGTTTATTGTTTTTTTTTTAAATGGAAAGGGAAATAAATGTTATGATAGTGGTTTAAGAAGGTGATTTCCCTTGCTAAAATATATTTGAATCTGTCACCACACAGTTAGTGCCACACTCTCTTTTTCCTCACATTTTAAATAAAAATAATATTGAGCATTTATGGCATGCTGTATGCATTCCAAGGGAATGGTCATTGGGCATTGATTTCTGGAAAACCAACAATTGATATTTCTATATACCATATACAAAGAATATCAATAAATATCTTTAATCCATTGCCATTGTTTGTCCAATATGAAACACATGATGATAGCCATATATTAAAAAAAATAATTGTCAAATAATTATTAGAAAATAATTATTATTATCATGCTTACAATTTTGACATTGTCATTCGCAACAGACATCTTTCAACATGGTTGATTGTTTTGTTCATAATTAATTTCATTTTTCTAACAGATGTGAAGATAAACGGAGTACATGGAATTTCCCACGGCATATGGTTCTACACCATTCAAGGTGTATTTCGTGTCCTCTTTGAGTTGCATGACCGCTCAACCCAATATCACTGTATGAAAGAACTACAGGTATAATCTTCACTCACTTTAGTTTCGCATATTGAACATGAAGTTCATGACAACGTTTTAAATGATTGTGCATAAAGTTAAAACAGCTATGAAAACAATTCAATTAACTTTAGTGGGAAAGATTTTTTTTTTCTTTTTTTGGATTTTAGCTAGAGGCTATTGAATATTTATGAGTTTGTTGCACTGATATTTAATATTCACTGCAGCAAAGAATAACAACAATTAACATAGTAATTAATAAGGCATTTATACTATTTACTTCCATAGGAATTATGGTTAGCAAGCTTTGCTGATAGAATTGTTCCTGAATCATTAACAGTTACATTTGAAGTTGAGGAAACTAGTAGCACACCAAAAGATGACTTGTTAAGTAGATATGTCAATGACGAACACACATACTCAAAACAGTCATTTAACCAAATTTACAATGAAGTTGAAGACAGCCAGCACAAAGATTTTTCATGGACTACAACTAGTTCTGAATCTGAGAACACAGATTCTGCTTGTGATATTGGAAACAAGAATGCTAGTTATGAAGCTATGGCTACTCACAAAGGAGCATGTAATACTATTTCAACATCTAAGCACATCCAAGTGGTCAAAGGTCACAATTCTAGTGCGGAATATCAGTATAATAAACAGGAAATTGAAGATGAACATTTTGATTTGGAATACTGTTCAGGAAAGAGTTTGACTGGGATCAAGGAACTGTTAGAAAATATTACCAAGCAAATTAGTCATTTAGATGGCAATAGTGTCTCTTGTCTTCCACTCTATCCTTTAAAGCTTTTGACAGAATGTATACACCATGCCAGGACAAGCCAGTTGTCAGAGCAGGTTTGTAGGGATAACATGTTCGAGTTCATGCTCAACTCTGTATGCAGGTGGCTTGGAATTGAATTCAATCACCTCATTCCAAATGTGCTTCAAAAGGCTGATGAATTCAAGAGCAGACACATTGAAAGTATTGAAAATCTGCCATCTGCTGGAGAGGTTGTGACTGAGATCTTCCACTCAGCCATGGAAACACTGCTTGTAAATTGGATGGGGATCCATTCCAATCAGACAAAGACATACACTGATGCAATCCAACAGAATGATTCAAGTCAGGATGAAATATGCTCTTCTAGGGACTCTGTCCAAACAAACACAGACCTAAATACTGGTTCAGAGAGGTCATTGCAGGACATGACAGACATTGAAGAGGGAAGCCCAAGTTTATTAAAACTTTATCCACTAATTCAACTCATTCTTGAATTGGCAAACCAGACACTTATCTCTGGCATGGCACATGTTGTGTTTGCTCGTCTGGCTCAACAGGAAACAGTCATGCAGTAAGGATGTCTAGCCCAGACATCCAGACATTCGAGCTTTGAATGAATTTGGTCTGTTGTTGAGTGGCTGCTATGGGATATATTTTCTGGGAGCTAAGCTGTCCGACTGGGGGAGCTGAGTGAGATAAGGGCTGTATGCCCGAACTAGGGATAGGTCTGGGAGTTCCCCCTCCGCAATGACATTTTTTTTTAATAGGGACCTCTGCATGGCTGGAAATTGCACTCTCAGACTGTGACAAGCATGTGCTGGCTAGTCGTAGGTTTATTTTTTTTTCGGGCCGACTGAATGACAATCTCTGGCCGGATGGGGTGTGGGGAGTCTTCTCCTGTATGATGGAGGCCGAGATACATTATTCCTGGACCATGTTCCAGTCAATTGTGTCATTCTGTTATGTTCTATGGCACATTAATCTAACAAAGAAATTGCAAGTACCTGTAAAATAAATAAAATCACCAAGTTGTACAATATATTATAATAAGTTAATTAATGTGTACTGTATGTTGAACCTTTGGAAAAAGAATTTCATGTAACCTCATTATTGCCCATCACCCACAGTACAATAATTTTTCACTAGCGGAAAGTTCTTATACACAGGTTAAACTTAATGCATTCAAAAATTTCCTTCTGGCCTTGCAGGCCCTTTTTCAAGCAATAAATCTAACCTGTGTATAATAATTTTCTGCTAGCGTACTATGTGCAGCTCTACTAATTGCTTATTATTAGTTCTGGCATTAATTCATCAATGTAAACAGAGCTGATGCTCTCATTCTGAAGATATTTAATCTGAATCATGTAATATTGCATATTTCATTCCATCAACATTTGGTGCACAAATTGCACACCAAGTGCTGTTTCGTTGGAAAATTTCTATTATTATTGCAAAGCATGCTTTAATTTTGTTTAAATCCCAAATACAATGAAGATTGAATTTTCTTGTGTGATAACAAATTTCGAATATCAATCAAATACTGTACATTATTTTCATTGTATGGCAAAAGCAAAGAGTAATGTAACTAATACATATGGCCCAGTTCTATGAACATGTTTGCAATGTGTCTGGACAACCAGAAATTGAATAGTGCTGCTGTGGTTGGCAAAAATGCAATAGACGCATCATAAATATTAGTAAGGCCAACAATAATTATAACAACTCAAAAATGACGGATCCAGGAATTCAAAAGAGGTGACCCAGAGAGGGACTTTCACAGAATTGAAAACCCCTCACCTGAGCCCCACCATAGTCGGGGCTGAGGTAAAAGGGCACCTCTTGATGGCCGGAAATTACACTCTTGGACTTAAATTTCGCCACTGCTCAAAACATTCTGTATCCAAAATAGTCATAATCACGAAAAACCAACCACATTCTAAATACAAATTTATGGTCCCTCACCTAGCAGTCACCAAGACATACTGTACTCAGGTGCCGACACGATGGAGTTCAATGTCACCCAGGGAAGGGCGCAAATCTATTTTGGAAGGTGGACAGGGACATTTGGAGAGTCCACACGCACCCCAGACCCTCCATGATTGTGGCCAAGGTGCAAAATTTGAGGAAATACATCAAGATGGCCAGAAATGACACTTTCATCACCATCACATCACCATTATATAGGCCTATAGTCAAAATGAAGCGCCAACAAATTTTTGCATGATCTTTTTCGGCAACCAAGGCCTAACTATAGCTTACTAAGCTTTAACTACACTAATAACTACTGTATAATCAACAAATCACTACCGTCTTTTTTGCCTTTAGCACAATTTTAATATTACTGTACTATCATCGCCAATCATCTCTGTCATCATCAATATCATATCTGTCTTTAATATTATTACTACTACAAAACTACAGAAAGACCTGGCCTGGAATTTATGATTTAGATGAGTTCAAGCTGATTTTTTTTTTAAGTTTGATAAATCCACACCCCTGTGTGGTAGCTGTTATAAACCCAAAATATAATTTTTGCATTATTGTGTATAGTAAAAAATTGACTAATCTAACAAATATTCCACTGGGTGACTATCATGTTAGCCAATCTCTATCAGAGCAATTAGAAATTGTACAGCATTTTGAACTCCAAACCCTGTTTTGTTTTAATTTGTTATTGCAACAAAATTGACACGCCGTCTTCGGAGTTTACTATCACATAGCGTAGGACAGCAAAATGATTTATAACATGTTCAATTTGTATTTGCAAGTTGCGTACAAAAAAATCACGCTTAGGGCTAAGTTTTATAATTATAGTAGGCCTATTAGGCATATGTATAACGTGTGCTGATGCATATTTAGATATATTTTTTGAGTGATCCCAGAAAAGATTTTGTACTGGCTGGCATGAACAAGCTTTAAAATTACAAGTGGGTACCTGGAAGGTTGAAAAACCAAATGCACCGATTACAGCTGCAACATGCTACTATCCCTTGAGACCAGACATGTGCTTGATCCAATGACCGCGGGTAATAATATTATTGCTTCGTTATTTCACATAATACGATCCAGTTGTACAAATATAGGATATAGAGAGTATAATGATGGTTGAAAGCAGTGACGATGAAATGAACGCAATATAAAATGGGCTTATATGAAAAAGATCGATATTTCTGTTATTAAAAAGCTCGGAAATACAATAGACAGAATTTATTGTAAATGCACAATACTGTACTGTATATTGTACTGTATTGCTTACGCCTTAGAAAAGTAATTTTAACTCCTTAGAAAAGATGCATGAGGTTTTTGAGACCAACAGGAATGTCAGGAAACAAATTCATATTTAACATCAAAAAGATTTATTCCACAGTTCTAATAACAAGATATTAGCATTGGTAATCCAAGATAAAACTAATCCTCTTAAACCCCACCTCACTCTGCGCACTATACCGCATTAGCCGCAATTTTTATGGCCATTATTCCATCGTGTAATATAAAAAAGGGACCTAAATACAACGAACATTCACACATTATGACTAGTTGTACACAATAGTAAAACTTTTTCCAATAATCGCGCTGGCTGCAAGTACACATTCATGCACTATAAAGGTTTATTAACAGACGCAAAACATTAAAGAGATTTTACAATTTTAATACGGCCTATCACGCCGATCTCTTCTGTGATCATCACGACCTCCACCCATCTTGAATCCTCCACCACCACCTGGACCACCTCGGAATCCTCCACGACCACCGCCGCCTCGTCCACCACCTCGACCAAATCCACCACCGCCTCGTCCTCCACCACGGAAATCTCGTCCACCTTTGGAAGAAAGCAAACGTATTACTGTATTTTAAAAATAATTAAATATAAAATAAATTTAAATTTTACATCCCTCCTCACCCTACTTTATAAAACTGCCGATATTAACAATTTTTTATCAAGTCAATGATAACTGTCATGCATTGATAAAGTTCTTACTATCTCCTCTTCCACCTCCGCCTCCACCGCCACCTGGTCGTGCTGTTTTACATCTATTACACGTGTCTCTCCATGCAAAGTTGTTGTTACCGCAAGTGCTGAAAAGAGATTAATTTTAAGGTGGTAACTATCACTATCTGTCAATAAGTCTTGTTAATATTAAGGTGGCACCATCTGAAAGTATTTCTATTGTTTGGAGACATTGCGTATTAAAGAATAATTACATTTGTGTGTGTATAACATGTATAAATTACAGACAGCAATTCAAATCCTAAGTGATTTCTTTTTATTCCAACACCAAAAAAAATGTAATATTGTTGCCATCATACTATATAATGCATAATATATTTTGTAACAGACAAATTTAAGTTAATCATTTGTGAATACTACCAGTATACTGTACAATATTTTAAAGGTTTTATAAACATTGTGAAATAAACCAACAAAGTAAATTATGATGAAACACAATTCATTTTGGCAGCTACTTAGCAAGCATTTAATTGATTATAAATGCCATATAGCCATAATTTGTAGTTGTACATACCTTTCTGGGCAGGTCCAGTCTCCATCTCTTGATGGTCCACCACCTGGGCCACCACCTCCTCCTCCGCCACCACGTCCACGACCGCCACGGAATCCTCCTCCCCTTCCTCCTCTATCACCACCGCGACCAAATCCTCCTCCCCCACCACCACCACCTCGTCCACCTCCTCTACCTATGATTGTTAAATAGAAAAATCTTGATTAGTATTGTCCAAAGAATATGAAATATTAATACAGTAGAACGCCTCGTATAGACGATGACGTCATCAAAAACCCCGAAAATTTTCAAAACAAACAGCCCTTTTCAGAGCAACCATAAGTAAAAAGAGGTTTGTTAGTTTCTGTCTGCTTATTATTATACTATAACAATAAACAAACCATAACATATTTTCATTAAACAGCAATGTTGATCAAGTTGTTATAATCTAAAACTATGTGAACTTAGCGAAATGAACAACTACCGACGGGGCTCAAAATATTTGCTTTCCTCCTTAGATTTGTGTGGGAAAACTCGTCAGGTCGAATTTTCTACACGAAGCTGGGTAGGCATAATTTCGTACATTATTACAATTATATTATATGAACGCTAATTACAGATACAGATACACAAACGTTATTAGTTGACTCGCCCAGTGCAGTGCACGTCGTTGCCGTTGCACGTACACGAACGCTAATTGGTTGGCTCGCCCAGTGCAGTGCAGATGGTTTTAGTTAGTCTCAGCAGGGCCAGACAACACCACAGCTCTGTTGTTTAGAATAGCCATGGGGAATTCCCAAGTTATACCTTTGTCGTATAAGTAATCTTACAATATTTTCATGTTCTTTAGTTAAAGGATACAAAGCGATGACTCAATTCACTAAACACATGGTTTTATTTGGACACTTTATTATGACATCATAAAGTGAATAATAAACACACTAAACACATGGTTCTATTCGCACAGTAGGCCTAGAGGCTAGGTCTAGCCTTGGTAACATCGTTCGTTTGTTCACAACATGCGTTCATATTAGGTCAAAGGTCACCACAAATTTAACCAAACCTCAATTTTATAAATCCCGTACGTAAAATCGAGGTTCTACTGTAGAAAGTTAAGGCTACTTTTTACATTCAACAGCTGTTCAGAAACAACATAGGATCAAACAACATTGGCAAGCCTTGGAAGTAATTTTCTTGTAACAAGGGTTGAAGATTAAATCAAGTTTGCATCAGATATTTTGTTTATTGAATCATTCAATTTTCATACAAGAGGTGTCTGGGTATCATCATTTGCAAATGTACATAACTAGCTTGCCCATATCAACACACTACAATACAGTTGTTGTAGTAAAAGATTAATAGGATCGGAACCTACCGTAACCCGATGATGCCGGTCGTTTTGCAAGCTCCACTTTCATAATGTGTCCATTGAAGTCCTTGCCTGTAATAAGTAACAAATGAGTTATTTAATACTAATGAACATGAAACAAAGTTTTGTTGTGAATCATTAAATTTTCAGCCAATCCATTCTAAACGTGATCTTTAATAAAGGGAGTAGGTTTACATTAAATAATAAAGCCTTAGCTATTTCAAACCAACCGAAATGTTAGCCTTTCTCATTAAAAAAAAAATAGTGAGCTTTTGCTATTCCGTTTCGCGTTCCATAAGAACCAAACCCTTGGTGGCAGCACAGACTGTTGCTACGGCCATAGCACTCTTCAGCCACAGTGGCACCCTGTCTAATTGAATGGTAGGCTACGGAATAAAGCCTAGGGTGGAATACATCGATTATGTGAACATCTGCGAAAAATTTGAGTGAATTTGCAATCCGTACTATGATTTTCTCAAGGTAGTATAATAATTTACATAGAATATAATTAAATTTCATTCAAATGTTGCAAATACATTCAGTTTCTGGTTCTCGATACATCGTCCAAAATCCAGCGGCTGAATCTCGATTACAAGAAAACTAAAACCAGGCCTAAACTGGCGACGTCGTACACATATATATGCATTTTTCTTGGCAAATTGGTTCTTGAACGTGATAACAAAAGCTCACTTATATTTCTATTTCTTCTCAATATCACTACTTATGTGCTATAAATAATAATTTCTTTCAGGCCCCATCTGTGTTTGTTATTGCTGATCTTCAAGTTGGAAGCTCACAATAATGATTCTTATATTTACCCACAATAATGATTCTTATATTTACCGTTGAACCAGTCGATGGCTGCTTTTGCAGTAGGCGGGTCATCGTATGTAACTGTAACTTCTCCTTTGGGGACGTTATCATTGTGTTTGTCTCTGTAAACCCAGACTTTGGGTTTACCTGTGCGTTTGTCCATCTATGAAAAAAATCAAGAAAGCGAAAATGATTACTACGCAGGGCTATCAATACAGGACATTTACAGGGCTTCTTAAAAAATTTATTAATACATAGGATAATTTGGCAGAAATAATAAGTTACATTTATAAAGCGCATATTGCAAAGTGCCTCAAAGCACCTTACACCAATACTACAGTAATAAGGTAGAGTCAAAACTGTGTAAGGTCTAAAAAAATGTATAAACACTTAATATAAAATATTTTTAAAGGAAGGCAGTAATTCAAAGAGATGGAAAAAATACTGTTTTTCTACATTTGGCATCAAATGGAAATAAAAAAACATTCATGGCTATTAGGGGAAAATGTATACCTTAATGACACCAATGTTGCCGAAGAATTCAGCTACAGCTGCTTCTGTTACGTTGGATCCAAGACCACTGACAAAAATGGTGTCATGCATTTCAATCATTTCTGTATCTGCAAAACGCAACAAAAGCAAAAGCATGTTTACAATTTTTGAAAGTACAACTGCAAATATCACCACTAGGTACAAGATATCCAGTATGCAGTGAACTACATTTCTTTCATAGCTGATTCGTCACTATAGTATTGTAATTCATAGTCGTACAATTTACAGACACTATACTGCAAGTTATAACTCACCTCCTCCATATCGGCCACCGCCGCCTCCTCCGCCACCACCACCGGCACCCATTCCACCACCACGGCTGCTTCCACCTAGAAAGACAAGAAATCCTAATAATGAGAAGTGATACACATCAAAGAATGTCTTTAAAAATATAAATGTTAATCATACCACCTGTTAACTCCTCTTCAATTATAATTATACTTTAGAGTAATGATAGCCATTTATATTTTCCCTTTTTGTTAACATTCCGAGTTTATTTTATTGCTTTGAACTTTCTTTAAGCGACCGACGTAGCCCCCTGTAAATGTTTTTGCTGTGTGTAACCATGCTGTTTACTGTAACAACATTATTGTTTGCAACTGCAAAAAACTTTCACTACCATATTTCCACTTGTTTCAATGTATGTCAATTACTCTAACACTAATGGTTGAGTATTATTACCCAGTTTAATTTTGCCCTTTCATTTTTCCTTTTTTATGTACTGTACATGTTTATTATTATGCGTTTATTACTAAGCCTTTGTAATTGTATTTACTGTGTGGAACGCTCGTTCATGGTTACCAGATTTTGCGAAACACCACTCTTGTTAAAACTACAAAAATCTTTTACTATTAACTTTAACCCAACGCTAGTTGTTTAGTATTGATAGCAGGTTGAATTTTGCCCTAATATAGTCAAGTTCACTATTTATGTGTTATTGATGTAAAGCATTTCCCCAAAGTGCCAGACGGAGCCCTGCAACTACCCTGTGTAACAACACTGTTGTACATTACCACCAGATTTGTCAACACCATTTTTGTCTTGTCATACTACCTGATAAATGCTAATATAAGTCAATTACACTAACGTCTTAGTATTATTGGTAGCCAGTTTGATTTTGCAATTTTTTGTTCAAATTCACCTTTTGCGTGATTGTTATTGTAATAGAGTCCACATAATTAGTTTTACCATGCATAACGGCAATGTATGACATTGCCACCTTCAATACCTTGCTTGATATACAAGACACCTTGAATACCACCATTAGTGAATCACCAATTTTTGTTCTTTTTTTTTTTGTTGAAAAACTTCATTTTAAAAAAGCACCTTTTTGTAATTTACAAGTACCTCTTACAATATAATGTCACATGACTTTAGCACCAACTATTATGATTCGCGATATTTTTTTATATACACTAATTTCATTTTTGTCTCATCTGCTTTATGAAATGATGCATAATAAATGATAAATTTACTATTTTAATTTCTAATTTTATCCTAAAAATAGGGCCTTGCGATTATTTTATGCTGAAAAAAAAAGATTGATTAGAACATGGCATATATTTTTAGGTTTTTTACTGTATCATACTGAATATCAGTTAAACTTATGGAATCAATCTTCAACACGGGTAAAACATTTTCAATTTTTCATTATTGACTCAAAGAGTACTTTTTTTCTCCAACTGCACTCCTCTTTAATAATTTCTTTTAAAATAATAAAATTGCATTACGGAAGTGTAAATTTTAGAACATTTAACCACAATAATATCAATACAAAAATATTGCTAAACAAAATCAAGTCACCAAAATGGAATTTTGTGAAGACTATCAAATTTTGAAATCGTCTGAGTAGCGGACGTTCGCCAAATTATGGCTAACTTACCGTCCCTATTGAAGCCTCCACCGCGTCCCCCACCACGGCGATCACTGAAATTAAGAGAGGAATGCTTAGGTGATGGGCCAAAGAAAGCGCAGCTAGTTTGACTCCTCCATCTGGGGGTAGTCAAACACCCTGCACCCCCTGTCCCAATCACACAATAAGCTCCTCATTTTCTTTGTTCATTCAACCCTGGTCTGCTGTTTATGTTGAACTCTTGGAGGCTCTGTATCATTTGTTGACTATCATATTTTCATCTGAAAATTGGCATATATACATATTCCTATACAATTCGCCTATTCATACTATAAAAATATTTCTATTTTACTTCATAAACTAATGCAGAAGAGCAATTCAATTAAATTATTAAACTATCTTACTGCTATACTTATCTAATATAGTATATTTTTACAATTTTAATACGATTTAATTGCTAAGTTACACAACCTCGCCAATAACTGCCCAAATAATTAATTCATTAATTCAAATAACTGCTCAGTTCTGTAATCTGGTTTACTATAATTTATCTGGTTAATAACTGATGTGATTAGGAAATTCATCTCATCAATAACTGCTCAGTCAATGCACCTCATCAATATATCACTATAATTTATCATTATAGAAACCAATTGAAGTTATAATCTGTCAAGCAATTCTGAATTCTTTAGTTAACTAGTCAACTAATTCTTAACCTACCTGGTCAATAATTCCCCAGTTAATTTACCTGGTCATAATATTCAGGTAATGTATTTGGTGAGTTAATAACCAGTTAATTTATCTGATCAACAATTTGCTTATATAATCTGATCAATTATTGCTCAGTTATCCAAAAATTTAAGAAGTGTCCACCCTCACTTATGACCCCGCCCACTCACTATCAACTATGAAAACAGAAAAAGAAACCGTCAAAATGGATAGACATGTTCAGTGCGTGCCCCAAAAATTCCATTTTATTTGAAAACTTGGATCTGTCGCATCCAATAATTGCAAAAAAAAATGTTTTTATTTGGGGAACAACTAGATTACTTAAAACCTTTCCATTAACACATGTGAATAAAAAAAAATTAATTACTACTACAGTACATGCTTAAAGATATACTTCAGGAGTACACTAATAAATAAACGTATTGTATGTCCTCCTCGCACATTAATATTAACTATTGCTAACACCTGTAAGAACCTGGATGTACATGTCTAAAGACATAATGAGTTTTGTTGACAAACAAATTCATCTCATAATACACATAATAACCATGAACATACTATATGATTTATATGTGCAAGGGGTAACAAAACTAGAATTAACTCATTTAAATTTTATAGTGAAAATATTCATACCATTATTCCTATGCATATATTCATTGTATATAGGTAATATACTTCTAAAATGCATAATTACTAGGGCCAGCCAATATACTTCTTGATCAGTCAACAAAGTGTACTACCTACATAACTTGCAGGCAGTTAAGTATTGTGGGATGTTACTATATAGGGTGGGTGGTACTACGATTGACAGTGACTCGCATGCTATTTATATTATACCTCAGTTAAAGTAATAACTCCTATATTCGTGCTGGCATGGATATGTATGATTACCCAGTTTATGTAACTTTGACACTAAAATGATGGTGTATTTTGTTGACCAATCACAGCAATTTTAATGGAATGACTTAAGAATGACATGGCTGGCCCTTCACAGCAATTCACAATTTCTAGTTGGAAAACTATTTTTAAGAACCATAATAATAAAAAAAGGAGAAAAAAAAGGTAAAAAAAGAAAATCATTAGAAATAGTAAATACATTCCCAAAATTCTGCAACCTCCTAACATACAGAAAATATGATAAAAACGGAAACAAGTTGTCCTAATTTTTTTTCTTTTCTCTTTTTTTTGGAATATACTGTATTTAACAAGAAAAACTCTACATCAAATTTGCCACTAACAAATAAAACTACATCAGCTTCACAGTAGCAAATGTGCTTGCAGCTTTGTAATCATGACCACATTAAGCATCAACATCTTCTGGTTATTGCTCTTTTACTATAAACCGAAACAATTATTTCATTTGTTTATGTCTAGTACAAATTTTCATGAGAATTTTCATAACAGACACCAGGCTTTTTTGAGAGTTTTGATTAATAACTCTTAAATGTGAATTACAATTACAAAACTGCATTTTAGTAATTTGTCTCTTGATGAATTTTAAGGCTGTTTCTACCTGTGGACTAGAAAAAACTTTGGAAGAAAAACACAGTTGATAGAATAGGCATTTGGTAACTACCACATCAACCAATCCACTCCAATCATAAGAACGAGCATATATTTGAAAAAACATTGTTATAAAAAAATGTTATATAATTTCTAGAAAGTACTTTTTAACCCATCACACCCTGCTCTGCCAATTTTTTTTCAGAATTTAGAATGCTACTCTTATTCTGGTATTCTTTTCATACAACATAATAATTATGAAAAATATTTACTATAATAATGAATCCCCACACACTATCAAACATGGTACAGTAGCGAGTGTTGGCACTATATTTATTAATGTCAATGAATGATTGATCAACTATTATACTATTTAGTTTTCTTTTTAATACTATACTTACCTCACCTATAATTAACAGACTAAAACAATTAAAGAAACTGTTCCCCAACACAAGCAACATGGCCTGTACCAATTTATATTCTGTGCATATTTATTTCACATACCCTGTGCAAGCGTATGCCATACGCTAGTGCAATTCCACTCAAATCTAGTTCGAAACATTACAACCCAAGACTACCATAGACCAAGATATATCATAGTCTAATACAAGTGGTCAGAAATCTTTGCTTTTGAATGAGGCCCTAAGTCGTATCAGAAAATTTCTTTAATTTCCTAAAAAATAAACGAGACTCACCCGAAGCCTCTGCCTCCGCCGCCACCACCATTGCGGTCTGAGCCTCGTCCTCTACCTCCACCACCATATCCTAAACAGAAATTTGTAACAACATTTATTATTTCAGAAGAATACTAATGTTCTCTACAGACCCTACTGTTTATTTCACTGTAATATGTAGTAGTATGTTTCAGTGAGGTTTTTGAAACCTCACTGAAATTAATAATTAATATTAAAATTTTCACATTTCAATAATTTGGTTTGTTAAAATCAGATTCAGTGTTTTACCAGTACAAAGACAATCTAAAAAAAACTCACAGCCATTTATTCATTTTCAATAATTTTTTTTTAATGACAGGAATCTTTGTTAATTTGGTTTTAGTGTCCACTATGCAAAATGAATAAAACTAAAACAAATGTCTCAGAAGCTGACAATTTTGGCATATAAGCATCTTTCTTTGCCAGTGAATCCTCAGCATTAGTTTTTTGAAGAAACTTTTTGTAAAATGTAAATTGACCTTCCATTTACATACACATTGGGCTGAAAGCAATTCGTAATTGAGAAAATTCGTAAATGAGAAGTTCGTAAGAATAGCGCCCTCAAGTTTAAAAACGCCAACTTGTAGCCTATAACTAGGCCTGCCTACCAATATCTAGGCTTAATTTTGCATTTAAGTGTTCAATAAACATTTATAGAAATCGTTGAAGAATCAATTAAATGTTAATGCAAGACAAACTAATATAATAAATATCGATTCATAATAGGCTAAGGAAATCGTTCCATGGATAGACCGACCTAATCTTCCATGTCACTATAGGCTGACTGTTCAACATACAGTGTGGTGGTTTAGCTGGGCCTAGCAGCAGCTCTCTGCTAACTATAGCTAGGCCTCTGTCCGTAATTTATAGCAAATTAGTCAACAAACATTGATATAATTTGTATTAAAAGCACTGGGCTTATTATTTATTTAAGTCAAGGTATTTTTGTATAATTAAAAAAAGAAACTGTTCCTATTTTTTCGACCTTCCTGACTTCCAAACATGTGGTTTTGGTACCTGTAGCGTTGAATGATGGGTAATTGCTGATGTCATGTTCTAAAAATAGAGCAGCTTGCTAATCGTTTGTTTTTTTTGACAGTGAGAAACAAATAATTAATACAGATGCTTATTGAATATCCGAACAGTGATTTATTCTTAAAAGGATAAAAGGTTGATGTTACCATACCTTTATACTCGGACTAGCTGATTTGATTTACAGTTCATTTAGACCACAGTTAACCATAGACAGAGTAGGGTAGGCCCCCTGGTATAGGCTGCCCAGCCTTGCACTTAGCCCAGACAAGGTAGGCCTAGCAGCATGCACTGCCTGCCTGAATTTCGCCTAGTTTTGATTATTTTACATCATGTATTGGTTTGACTTTTCTAAGCCTAAAGTAGTATCATGTATTTATGGAATTACTGTATAACTAGTACTATAATGCAATTTTTAATACAATAAATAGTTTTTCTTACAATAAATAAAAATAGCATAAATAAGATGAATAAATCTAGCATAAAATAGAAGGTTTGTAAATGAGAAGTTCGTAAATGGGAAGGTCGACTGCTATATAATCACATACCTCCTCCACCACCACCGCTATTACCGTAACCACCACTGCCACCATATCCTCCTCCGCCTTGCCCGCCACCATAGCTGTTTGAGCCACCTGTTCAATAAATCAGATTACAATGTAAAACATTTAACACATTATCAGCAGTATTCACATGAGAAATGCAGACCTCAAAATTAGGGATAAAGCACGCCGGCAAAAAATCGCTTACGTTAAAAAATTGACGCCGACATTTTCCAAGAGTTGTCAAGTACTAGGCCTAAACCTAGGCTAGTACTTATTACGCAGGCCTACGTGGACCATTGGATCCCCAGAGTGCTGTGAAGTTCTAGGTAGACATAGGCTAGCCGCAGTGATAAAGTATACGCACTAACCATGGATGTTGAAATATGTTTACAAGTTACTTTTGTGAAAACGAATTAAAACTAAAATACTCTGGGCATATTTATCCCTAAAATAAAAGCCACCAGAGTCAAAAGGATAGCAAACTTTGGTGACAACGAACACGCTCGACTTGCTCTTCTTTCATCTAGGAGATGTTAGCGACTGTTGGGGATCGTCTTTCACTTTCACTAAAATCAACGGAGAATACAGACAGAACAGCTACATGTGTGTAAGGGATTAACATAGAAGTTCCTTTTTTTCTTGTGTAAATTATTCGTGAAAAGTAGCAGTACGTTTCTGTTGAATTGGTGTTTGAAAAGTAAATGCACGTCGGCAATTTCTCGCCGGCGACGGGTGCCTAGACGCCGGCACTGCCGGATGCCGACGTTAATTTTGAGGGCTGGAAATGTACACAAAAACATAGCCCAACAGAATACAATACCTTTAAAACACAAGCCAAGGTCATACCTGCTAACATTGAAAAATAAAAAAAATCAGGACAATCTACTCAAAAAAAAAAAAGGGGGGGGGGGAGATTATTGCTGTTTAAAAGGCCATGTCCAATAGATTTTTCAAGATCTATTAGAAGATTTATCAAAATGATTAACCAGGCTTTCTGTAATTTTTAAAAATCCAATATCAAAAATAAGGACAATCCCGAGCAAAATCAGGATGGTTGGCAGGTATGCATACATTTCTACGGACTAAGAGCCAACTGATTAGTGCAATAATCATTAACTTACAGTACAGTTTAAAGAGGCAAGAAAATAAGAAAATCTTTTAAAGTATTAAAGTAATAAAAAGTAAGTATTTTGTTTACAACCAAATTGTAGTGTCATTGAAATGTAATTTCAGGATTAAATTTAGTTTGTATATTTCTTAATAACTGAAATTAACTCATCAAAATAATAAAGTTTACCCTCCAATTCTAGACCCCTCTAATTAAGGACCACATATTTTTTTAAATCCCAAGACCACCTCAAATTTTCAGGTCCCAAAGACGGTCTCGAATTAGAGGGTGCACCGTATCCAGTACTCATGAATATTCTCAAGAATTTTCTGAGATGTTAAATCACATAGTCACTAGTAAGATGGGATTTGGTTATTCATAGATTAGAAGCCACAAATAGACAGAAATTATCTCAGATAATCATTTTCTATAAGATTAGTTGTCTTGAAAATCTCCCTGGAAGTAAATATGTGATAAAAAGCTGGCAGAAGCTGTGTAGACTCCACCTAAAGATAGAGTGAAAGGGAAATAGTTTATACCTTGTTGACCATAGCTACCTGGCTGTGAGTAACCTGTAAAACATAAGAGAATAGTCATTTTTGTTATTGTGAAAAATATCTTGACCAATCAGAAACACTATTTAAATACGCTGACCAAAAGGAATGTTTTAGTCGGTCTATCAAAACATGGTCATTTGCATGACATGAATATATCCATTGATTAGTTTGTATACACAGAATCAATGACATTTGACACTTGCCATCCCAAAAACCAGTGTACTGTCGCTAATTGTTAATTTTGAGTAATTAGCATAGGAATGTGCAGTATTGTATACTTTAGTACAGAGAAGCTGTAATACTTTTACTTATAACTTTGGCAATAGCAAGTCGATTCCAGTAAATGACCCATTCTTTGAAAGTTTATAATGTGGAAAATAATAATATAAATAAAAAGTCTATTTTCATTTTTTTTTTTGGTCACTGAGGCTGGTTTTGCGATGGCAAGCCTCATTAAAAAACATACCGACTATAAAAAAGATGTTCCATCATTGACTTTATTAAATATTAGCACCTATGAAAGAGTCTTACCTTGAGAATCGTAACTGCTACCGCCACCCGAGCTCCCTCCACCTCCAGATGATCCTCCATAGCCACCCGATGACGGTGGTGGATTGGACTGTGGGAAACTAGGCGCTCCCCCGCCTTGACTGTAACTAGATGATGATCCATAACTTGACTGACCACCAGAGCTGCCGTAGCTTGGCTGCTGACCATAGGCAGATGGTTGACCATAACTGCTTGTGTTTGTGTTGGCCGCAGGTGGGGGCTGCTGTTGTGGTTGCTGAGAGTAGGAACTCTGGGGTTGTCCATAGCTACTTTGACCTGTGAAATAAAATTTCATGAAATGAACTGACCAAGACTGGCAATACCATGGCTAAAAAGAGACATACATGCTGCCTAACATTCACTTGCATGACGGTCAGTTTATGATTGAGCAACAATGTGAACTGTGTGTAGAATGGTATCTTTTTTTAAATTAAATTCTATTGCAGGGTAGAGATGTTGACAGCTTTAATATCAATGCTAGTCCCTTTCCGCTGTCATCGTTGTGAAAGGTTGAGACTAAGTGCCACGCCTGCTATTCAATTCAGCACAATGATGGTTTGACAGAATAATAGCTTACGTAACCTTTAATATTTTAATCCCTGTGTTGTATGCAAGTAGACCTAACTTATCAATTGTCAAATCAGAAACTGACATATTACCTGTTTGCCCGTAGCTTTGTGGCTGAGTAGAAGCTCCATAATTTTGTGTCGTTCCATACGATGAACCTACAGAGCTTGTGGGCGGTTGACCGTACTGTGAGTAGCCGGTCTGAGCAGCAGGTTGCTGGTATGACTGTTGAGGTGGTGGTGCCTGAGGCTGATGTTCGTAGCCAGTAGATGCTGCTGCTGGCTGAGCACCATAACCCTGAAAATTTGACAAACAACCCTTTCAATGCATGCTTCAAATTATCGCAGTCTATGGTAAAATCTGAAAAAACTATGAAAACAATTCACCAAATGTCTTAAAATCTATTTCACTGCAACAATGCACAGTCATGTGCAATTTCTAGCAGAGAATCCTTAGATTACATTTTATAAGTTACAATGTTTGAAGACATTTTCGTGGACAGAGATAATCTGTAGAAAGTGTTAATCTTTAGGGGATATGGAAAGATAAAGCTTGATGAGTTGGAGAGGTTTCCTTTCAGTAAAAAAGGTTGCCATTTTTAAAACGTGCATACTGTGTACTATTATTCCTTTCTGCTTATATGCTACTCTTCCATGTAAATTTGTAGTATATGTTTGATATGCACTACATACCTGGTAGGATGGTTGTTGGCCATAAGACTGTGTAGCCCCTTGTTGAGGGTAGCCTCCATAGCTACAAACAGAATAGATTTTTTTGTAAAGTTTACTCAACATAGTCAAGTCTACATACATGCCTATTACAGATGGGTTTTGATGGCACTGTCAAAAAGTTCAAACCAAACCATCATATCTGCTTACAACTATAAGAACGGTGCTGGTACTGGTTGGTATCTTATGAATATATATCCTGTAAGTAAGTCTCTATTTTGAAGTACCACAGTATTATGTTAAACCTGGAATAAGGCCCCATAAAAAAAATTTTACTTTATCACCCCCTTCCTCGTCACTTTTGGTGAAATATCTTTTTTCTTTTTTTTTTCCAGTAAAATATATTTTTATTTTAAACGGTCGTTTTTCCATCTCTTTTTACTTGGAAAGATTTGTTTTTTTTTAAATATAAAATATAGTTGTGTACCTAACCATTGATTTACTTGAAAACATCGGTAAAATGAGGGTGAGGTTAGCAAAAAAAAAAAACCTCCCTCAATCATCAGTTTTTATTCTGTGATAGGGTGATAAACTATTATTTTTTTATGAGGCCTAATACTAAAAATATGGTAAATGCTCCCACTACGAACAGCTAGAAAACACTATTGCATTTTTCATTGAACTACACAGCGAAGAATCAAAATGAAGTCATAGTCATAAAGAATTAAAAAAATGGATTTAACAAAATAGGGTCACCAAAAAAGAGATAAATGGATTGAATATAAAATTCAGATAGATTAATAAATACCAAACATTAGGGAGTAAATTAAAATTTTTGTTAACAATAAAGAGTCACATGTTATAACTTAATCATAGACATACAAATATGTATTATAATTTGTTGGAAACTTCCTGGTTTTCTGGATGTATTATTACATTTTTGAATGTGTAATTACTAATATTAATATTATGTATTTCTTGAATTGTAATGAATATAGAAAGAATATGTACCTCTGTTGTTGGCCTTGTGTGTTGTATCCTCCATACTCTAAATTTAGACAAAGTTAAAACAAAAAAATGTTAGCAGGATCAACACTGAACCATTTGAATCAATGTTTGTCTTCGTCTTTGCACAGGTTTGCAGCTAAAATAATCTAAGAGTAGACTGTTATAGGCCTAATTTATATTCGTGAAAATATTACACCTTTAGTTTCATATCTTTAAAGTTTAAAACGTTGTCTAGACTAGGCCTGCAAAACAACCAATTTGTAAAGTTGTGCCACTCTTTGATGTATGTAGCCTCTAGCGGCCTAGATAAGCTTACACAGAACCGGCCAGTTACCATACGTTTCAGAACTAGGCCTACAGTAACATAATTACAATCGTTATCAATCTCCTCGATCCTTCATCATACGTAGAAAACAATTAAATATAAATACAAACAATTTACCATAGGACAAATGCCATTTAACATGGATAGTCATGTAGCAGTTATAAGGTATAAAATATTGATTTTTATCTTGATGCTTTTTAGCTTTCTATAGAAAATACACTAGGGATAAGCCTATGCAAGCTCCATACGATATATTTTGGTGATCAAATTCATTATTAACACATAAAGAAAACTAAAAATAAATTAAAACTTCAATATGACCATTAGGATCACTGTAATAAAACTAATAATGATCTGTTAACGAAATATATTAAGTATTAGTAGACAAACTTACGAGAATCAGTAGCCATTTCGATATGTGCTTCGTGAAAGCTTCTTGGAGATTGAGAGAGTGCGTGATTGTCGATTTACAAACCAAGCGTTGTCACGTGATTGATGCTTGCATTTGAGGGCGCCCTAGTCATTGTTAAAAAACTACTGTACACTTTGGTATAGAATATCTCAGATGTGACCAGACTTGGCCGCTTATGCTTTTTGCCATTTAGACACTTGTAACATTTGGGAAATTTAACATAATTTAGCATAATTTTGTCCTAAGAAGAAAAATATTTTAATCTGGTATCACAAAAAAAAATTGGTCATAATTGAAAACAAACAAAATGGGATAGGCCTACCAGATTCATTAAAATTATTTCATCCAAAAATTAACAGTCTTGTGAATATTTATTATTAGGCCTTCACCATCACATTGATCAGAGGCCCGAAAGCGCATTTCCGAGCAACTATAAGACAAAAACTTTACAATGGAGGACCCTGATCCCCTTTAATTTACTCTAGGCATAGGCGTAGATCCCGGGGGGGATGGAGGGGATATATCCCCCCAATATTTGACAAGGGGGGGATGGTCCATTGAATCATCCCCCCCAATATTTTGACTATGTATGGAATAAAATGGATCTTTACACACTTCAAAAGACTGTCACAGAAATAATTTGCACTGTCTTATGCGCTTACAAAGATGAAAATTAGCATAATGTATTAATGTTGATAACAAAATTATTTTATCTGGTACCAATCTAAGC